TAATAATTATTACCCAAAACGTGATGGAAAATTCAAAAACTTAAGTAAAGCGATCAATTGTGACCAAAATGTAAAGAAGAATGTAATTTGTTTTGCATGCAATCAAGCTGGACATATTGCTAAATTGTGTCCAAAGTTGAATGTCCTAAAGAATAATGGGGGAACCGCCAAAATAGCAGAAGTTCCAAAGGAGAATGAAGAAGAAGAAGAAGAAGAAGAAGAAGAAGAAGACGAAGAAGAAGAAGAAGAAGAAGAAGAAGAAGAAAAAGAAATAGCTGTAGTAGCGGAGGAACACATTAAAACAACAGAGGAATTTGTTATGACAGCCCATGCAGGAAGTAGGTCCGAGGAGTTCAGGGATCTGTGGATTCATGATACGGGAGCATCCCACCACATGACGCCCTACAAGGATATATTCGACAACTTAAATGAGGGTGTAAGAGGAAACGTCATGTTGGCAAAAAGGAAGACGAGTACTCCTTTGCTGGGTAAAGGGAGTGTAGCCTTAAAGGTAACAAATGAATATGGAGGCAAGAAATTAAGATTAAATAATTGTTCATATGTACCTGGTTTGGATTGTAACTTGTTGTCAATGAGACAATTAGATAGGTTGGGTTGTGAAGCACATATAAAGAATGGGATAATAACAGTCTCAAAGGATGGAGTTGTCATTTTTGTAGCCAGGGGAAAGGGAGATCAATTATACCATCTTCAGTGTGAATATTATACAGTGTCAGGCAAGAGTTTGATGTGTAGTATAAGTAGTAAGGTGGAAATAGAAAAGAGAATGAATCTTATGAAGGCCAAGGCCCTGAAGTGTGAAGCCATATGGCATCAGAGATTTGGACATATGAAAACCCTACCAAAGTTTTGTGGTGTAGATGAGTGTCAGTTAAATTGTGATGTATGCATCACAGGAAAGTTACACAGAAAGAAATTTTGTAAGAATTCCAAAAGTGCAGAGAATGTTTTGGAGGTGATACATTCAGATGTATGTGGTAAAATTACACCACAAAGCTTGGGTGGGAAACAGTATTTTGTAACCTTTTTAGACGATAACTCAAGATTCTCAACTGTTGAAGTTTTAACAAACAAGTGTGATGTATTACCAGCCTTTCAAAGATATGTAGAGAAAGTTGAAGTGTTACAAGAGAGACGAATTAAATTTTTACAATCAGACAATGGGGGAGAATATTGCAGTGCAGCATTTAATGAATACTTGGATCAGAAAGGAATAGGCAGAAGGTTAAGTGTAGCTAGAACCCCACAACAAAATGGACGCTCTGAGAGGTTGAATAGAACTTTGCTATGCATTGTTCGTTGCATATTAGAGAATGCAGGATTGCCGAAGTCTTTCTGGGGAGAGGCGGTACTCACCGCAAGTAATATTAGAAATTGTTGCCCATCTAAAGCAATCCAAGGAAGAATTCCCATTGAAGTCTGGTCTAAGAAGGCATTTACTATAGATATGGCCAGAGAAATGAAAGTTTTTGGCTGCAGGGCTTGGGATCTGAATTTAAATGTCAAGGATAAACTTGACAGCAGAGCAGTTGAATGTATTTACCTTGGTAGTGCTAGGGACGCTAAAGGGTATAGACTCTATAGTGTAAATGAGAAGAAGATTCGCATATCCAGAGATGCTAGGTTTGAAGAAAGTGTTTTTCCTTATAAGACTATTATTCGAAAGACTGTGATTCAGACTAAGAGTGAAACACCCATTTATGTATATGATTCAGACTGTACTGATACAGAAGACAATGTGGGTGGGTCACATCCCAGTGTAGATGAGAATGATGATAAACCTAGTATAGTAGGTAATGACATAAATGTGGATAATTTGGAAAATGTACCCCAAGAAAATGTACAACCCCGTAGAACCACGAGAACTATTAAGCAGAAAGTTGTATGTGAATGTTGTGCTAAAGTAGATTGTGGTGAAATTACATTGGCAGAACCTAAATCTGTAGGGGAGGCGCTTAGTAGAATTGATAGAGATCACTGGATTGGAGCAATGAAATTAGAGATAGAGAACTTGAAGAAAAATCAAACTTGGGAAGTTGTGAGAAAACCAAAGAATGTTAATGTTATAGGTTCCCGGTGGGTATTTAGCCTGAGAAAGAAAGATGATGGCACTTTTAAGTATAAAGCCAGGTTAGTAGCCCAAGGTTTCCATCAAGTTTATGGTATAGATTTCTGGGATAGCTATAGCCCAGTAATGCGACGAGCGTCCTTTAGGATCCTAATGGCTTTGTCTGTTGATAGAGGATGGGAGGTTGATCATGTCGACGTTGTAGGTGCATATTTAAATAGTACTCTGAAAGAAATTGTATACATGCGCCAACCCGAACTGTTTGAAGAGGGTAATGCTGATGATGTATGTTTACTTTTGAAAAGCATATATGGATTACATCAATCTGGGAAGGACTGGAATGATACTATTACTTTCATCTTTGTCAGTTTCGGATTGAAACAGTGTACTAAAGATCCATGTGTTTTCTTTAATGACAGGATTATTGTGGCTATTTATGTCGATGATATGATTATTTGTGGAACTAGAAAGGATGTGAATGACTGCAAAAGACAACTTTCTCAAAGGTTAAACGTTAAAGATTTGGGACCTGTGTCAAATTTTTTAGGTATTAATGTGGATAGACCCAATGGATATGTAATTAAAATACATCAAGAAAATTATGTGAATGAAACACTGAAAACTTTTGGTATGCTTGATTGTAAAGGATGTGTAACTCCAAGGGACCCAAACTATAACAATTTTCTCGATGGTGACAAGCCCTTTGATGAGATTCAGTACAAGGCAGCAGTAGGTAGGTTGCAGTACATTGCCACTTGTACTAGACCAGATATTGTTTTTTCAACAAATCAAGTCAGCAAGTTTTGCCATTGTCCGACCAAAGGGAGATGGCTGGAGGTGATGAGAATTATGAGATACTTGAAACATACAATTAAATACCGGCTGACCTATGAAAAATCTGAAGTTGACCCAGTAATTTATTCTGATTCTGATTTTGCTAATGATGTACATGACAGTAAATCCGTGGCGGGTTATGTTATCATGATGTCAAAGGGAGCTGTGTCTTGGAAGTCCAAGAAACAAGACATTGTAGCCACATCTACCAACGAAGCTGAGTATATAGCGTTATATGAGTATAGCAAGGAAGTTATTTGGATGAGAGAGTTTCTGTCAGAAATTAATGTAGCAGTATTTACTCCTAGTATAATCTTTGGAGACAATTTACAGGCAAATGATATGTGCACAAAGAATAAGATTACTGAACGCAACAAGCATTTTAGAATGCGGCAACATAAGATTAGAGAATATGTTAATGATGGAGATATTAGTATCCAGTATGTAGATTCAAGCACTAATTGTGCTGATATGCTGACTAAAGCTACTAATGGTCCAAAGATAAATGAGCTGTCTTTAAAGATAGGTTTGAAATTCGGTGTGGAATTGTAAACTTGTTTTACTTTTGGTTATTGTAATTATAGATTTTGACTGTAAAATATGTCCAACAAGGGGAGGTGTTGTAGTACTATAGTTGTAGTGCTGGCCATATTTATCTTGTGATATATATTGTTCATAAGTTGGTACCACACCCACTGCTACTTTCTTTTGTTAATGTACCTTTGGTATCTTGTAATGTTTGTGAATGAAGTTAAGTCTCCAGTAAACGTTAGATTTGGACGAGGGCGTTTCATTTCTTATCCGTTTTTACCTCGATGATCCAATGTGATTTCACAAAGGAAACAACAGCCCCTACATCCAATCTTTTCACAAATCAATGCCAGGAAACCTTGATGATGTTCCCAAAATTTCCTTGTTGCTGAGCAAGTACAGGAGGACTGCAGTACTTGCTGGTGACATGGCTGTATTCTCAGTACTATATGTCAAACAGCTACTGTAGGTGTGAACTGTGCTGCAAAACATGGCATGCCTGACACCTCAGTTCCAGATATCTTAATATATTTCAAGCGGTACAGTGATACAAAGCACTCTGTCTCACGTGTCCTTCGGAGAAACTGGTAGAGACTGGTTGTACTTTTCTAACTCTACTGGAGACTACAATAACAGACGTGGC